ACCTGCTGGGCTCAGACGATCCTTCCACCTCAGGTTTCCAAGTAACTGGAACTATAGGTGTGTGCCACCATGCCCAGCTAATATTTTTGATTCATTGTAGAGATGAGGTCTGGCCAAGTTACCCAGGATGGTCTCGAACTCCTGGGCTCAGGCAATCCTCTCACCTCCACCTCCCAAAGTGCTGGAATTACAGGCATGAGCTACTGTGCCCAGCCAATCTTCCTTTCTTGTCAGTGTCACTAGATTAACAGATTAGGAGAATATCATAGAGGCAATGTATCTTGTTTTCAGAAAAATTTGTTTCCAGATATGTTATTTGAAAAAGATAGAGAAAAGCTGGCTGGGATACAAGAGCATAATTATTTAATTGAACAATCAGTCACAGAAAAATTGGTTAATTCACTAGTGGGGTTGGTGAGACAGTCCTGGTTTATGTTGTAGCCTTTAACGAAACCAGTGATTTGGAAAAAGTCACCCCTTGGGGGCAGCAGAGTCACTGACAGATTGCTGAATTTCTGAAAACTGGTGAAAATTGCTACATATAATAATAAATATTGGGTCACATTTATCAAGCACTAGGCCCTGTGCTAACACTCTGTATACATAATTTAATATAATCATTACAACGCCCTATGAGGTAGATGCTATATTTCCCTCATTTACGATAAAAAGGTAAGTTTAGAGAGGTTAAGTGACTTGCCCGGTCATATTAGTGAGGGCCACAGCTGGGGAATTAAAAAAAGGGTACAGGCTGAGTAGACTTGGAGAACACATCTTCAGGATCCAGCAGCTGACTATGGCCTAAGCTTCTACTCAGGAGCCAGGAGATACCATAAATCCACCAAGGGCTCACAGGTAGGTTTGAAGCTCAACTAAAATCATGAGGAGCCAGTAGTATGCCTGGGTGAAAATAAGTAATGGGGCAGCCCAGAGTTAACTGGAAACCAAGAACTAGAGCAGATGATCAGGGCACCAAGTTCCTGCAGGGTAAAACTCAACAGTAAAGCCCAGGGACACAGGGATCTGAGGGCCTAAGAGAGTCAGTCAAGAGAACACTTGTGACAATGGGCTCCACCTGTACAGTAAAAAAAAAAAAAAATCAGCCAGGCACGGTGGTGCTCACCTGTAGTCCCAGCTAGTTGGAAGGCTGAGGTCAAACAATTGCCTGAGCCCAGCAGATCAACAGACTGAGACTCTGACTCAAAAAACCAAAACCAAAACCACAGCCAAAACCCAAAACACCCCATCAATGTATGGCTGCTATTCTTGGTCATTTCTTTGTTTTTTTTGAGTCAGAGTCTGTCACCCAGGCTGAAGTGCAGTGACATACTTACAGCAGCTACCACAGCCTCAACTTGCTGGGCTCAGGCGATCCGCCTCAGCCTTCCAACTAGCTGGGACTACAGGCGTGTGTCACCACATCTGGCTAATATTTTGATTTACTGTAGAGACAAGATCTCACCAAGTTGCCCAGGCTGGTCTCGAATCCCTGGGCTCAGGCAATTCTCTCACATCTGTCTTACAAGTGCTGGGATTACAGGCAGAGCCACCACGCCTCGCTTGTTATCGGTCATTTCAATGAAGTTTTTATTTTCCAATGGAAACTCAGGGATGTGTGTAGACTACCTATGGACTAGACAGTTTTCATTTTTTTATTTTTGAGTCAGAGTCTCACTCTGTTGCCCAGGCTGGAGTGCAGTGGCATGCTCATGACCACCCAGCGTCGACCTGTTGGGCTCAGGCGATCCTTCTGCCTCAGTCTTCCAAGTAGCCAAAACTATAGGCACACACTACCACATCCAGCTAATTTATATATATATAGTAAAGACGAGGTTTCACTGGTCAACATACTACGATGAGAGAAGGAACTCTCTTCTCTAATCCTCTCAGTGAGATTGGGTTAGGTCAAGAGAAGAAGGGTGGGCTCATGGGAAGGAATTACCACCAAGGTGCCAAGAACACTAGGTGTCAAACCACATCAGGATATGGAGATGGAGGAAGAACATTATCCTGCTCTAAGATGTCTATACATGTCTGCCTCTATTGTGGGCTTATGTGGGGCCACGTCCTCATTCCACATATCACAGCTGCCTCTGTCCTGAGGACTATTTCTTTACAAAAAGCTAAGAAGCAATCAGTGAAGAAAATGAGTATTAGGGGAGGTTGTCCACAAAAGAGCAGCGTTCCACGGGTAAAGAGGAAAAAAATGGTCAGAGATGGGGTAAATTTTTTTTTTTTTTGGAGCCAGGGTCTTACTCTGTTACCCAGGCTGGAGTTCAGTGGTGCAATCATGACTCACTGCAGCCTCAACTTCCTGGTTTAGGCGATAAACCCGAGAAGCTTGGGCTTCAGGTGGACGTCACTCTGCCTAGCTAATTTTTTTCTTCTTTACAGATGGAGTCTTGCTATGTTGCCCAGGCTGGTCTCGAACTCCTGGGTTCAAGTAATTCTACTGTCTCTGCCTCACAAACTGCTAGGATTACAGGCATGAGCCACTACACCCAGCTATTTTTTTATTTTTTTCTAACAAATACTTCTCCCCTTCAACTTTGTCAAGTAGAAGCTGTTTATTTTCCCGCTTGTGTAGGAAGGGGTGGCAAAGCATCAGCCTTCTCTTTTGCTTCCCGCTGCTTTCAGACGATTGTGCTTCCATCTTCCTGTAAGAATTCTTTCCCCTTTGACATCTGTGCCACATCTGGTTTTTCTTTCTTTGTTTTTTTGAGTTGGAGTCTCACTCCAGCCTGGAGTGCAGTGGCACACTCAAGACTACCCCAGCGTCGACCCATTGGGCTCTGGCGATCCTTCCGCCTCAGCCTTCCAAGTAGCCAGAACTAAAGGCACGCACTACTGTGCTCAGCTAATTTTTGATTTATTTTAGAGATGAGGTCTCAACAAGTTGCCTGGGCTGGTCTCGAACCTGCGGGCTCAGGCAATCTACTCACCTTGGCCTCCCAAAGTGCTGGGATAACAGGCTGAGCCACTGAGCCCAGCTGGCTCTTTCACTTTTTGGCCCTCATGCTTGCTGAGGTTAATCTCTCTCTGTGCCAACTCTTACTATCATGCTGGAAGGTCTTTGCAAAGTCCATGAAATAAATAAGACAGTTCCTGACCTTCTCAACTCCAATTTATACTCCTACTTTTAATTCCTTAACTTCATCTTTTCTTGAAAAACAGGTTTTTCTTGTTGGCAGCTTCAGGGCCATAGTAAGGATGGGAAGAGGGTAGCTTTTTTTTTTTTTTGAGACAGGGTCTCACTCTGTTGCCCAGACTGGAGTGCAGTGACTCAATCCTAGCTCAATGCAACCCCAAATCCTGGGTTCAAGTGATCCTTTCGACTCAGGCTCCTGAGTAGCTGGGACTACAGGCATATACCACCATACCCAGCTAATTTTTAAAAACACATATAATTTTTAACAAACTTTAAAAACAAAATTTTAAAAAATTGTAGAGATGGGGTCTCACTATATTGCCCAGGCTAGTGCTAGGATTACAGGCCCGAGCATCACACCCAGCCAGAGGGTAGCATTCTTGAGTGTGGTTACGATAGGTAGTGCCAGAGCTGGCTGGTGTGGACTTCAAGACCCACTCACTGAAAGACTGGGACTGGCAGCATGGTGCACAAGAGTGGAATGGCACAGGGGTTGAACTGCCTGATGATAGCTGGGGGAGAAGGTTCAAGATCTAGATTGGACTCTTGTGCTAAGCTTCCAAGAAGCCTGGGTCTGGAGTTAAAAGTACCTTTCCTGTTAGCTGCTTCTCAGGAGACGTGGGATACTTTCAACAGCCACCGCAGCCTCAACCTGCTGGGCTCAGGTGATCCTTCCACATCAGCCTTCCAAGTAGCTGGAACTACTTCCACTCCCTTGAATTTCTTCCCTTTCATTCTGCAACAATTATCTCCAGGTTTTTGCTCTTCCTCATTGGCTATTCCCTTTGAAAGAGTCTCCAAGGGTTCTTCTACTTGTTTTTAAATGTGGGAATTATTCAGAGCACTCTCTTAGCCCTCTGCTTTTCTGTGGAGGACCTTACCCAGATCCATGGCTTCAGCTGCCACTGAAATGATGTGTCAGAATTTCTGGCCTATACATCACAGGAGTTTTTTTTTTCTTTTTAAATTTAGAAAGCAGGGTTTATTAAGAGGACAGAAAAGCTCCTGCAGTGGGAGGGGACCCAAGGGGACTGCCCAGCAGTTTTTAAAAAGTAGTTTCCTGGTGGGGCACGGTGGCCCCCAGCACTTTGGGAGGCAGAAGCGAGAGGACTGCCCGAGTCCAGGGGTTTGAGACCAGCCTGGGCAACTTGGCGAGACCCAGACTCTACAATAAATCAAAACATTAGCTGGGTGTGGTAGCACGCCTGTAGTTACAGCTACTTGGAAGGCTGATGCGGAAGGCTGACCTGAGCCCAGCAGGTTGAGGCTGCGGTGGCTGTGAGTGTGCCACTGCACTGCAGCCTGGGGACAGAGTGAGCTTCCTACTCAAAAAACAAAAAAACACAGTAGTTTTCTATAAAAGCAATACATGTACACGGTAAAACAAACTCAGCAGTAAAGATGCATTTAAAGTGAAAAGTATAAAGCTTATCACTCCTAGGCTCACTCTTCATAACTTTTTTTAAACTCTGTATTTCTGTAGACACATTTTTTTCAAAACTTTTTAATGTGTGTGTAAATGTGCCATATTTTTCCGCACTTCTTTTTCCACTTGACATATTTTTCTTCTACTTTTTAGATCTAATTTTAGATCTGTACCTTCAGTTGCCATTAGGACACAGTCATCCCACAGGTACCTGAAAATCCTTCCCTTTCTTTGGAATCTTCCCTCCTGCAACATTCTTTTGCTAACCTCCTTCTTACAAGTCAATGCCGTGAAAAAATGGTGTTTATACATTGTGCCTTCCTAGTTCGATCTGGTTTGTAACCACATCTATGAAACTTTCTCCAAATTTATTAAGTGACCTTCTTGTTGCAAAAACTAACGGACACAGTTTAGTCCACATCTTACCTTATCTCTGTTCCTTGAACACTTTGACCAGTTTCCTTCACACTCCTCCCCTGGTTTTCTTCCTTCCTTTCCGTTTGCCCCTTCAGTGTCCTCTTCACGGCTTCCTCCCCTAACCGGCCCCGCAAACGCTAGTACCCCCTCTCTCTAGGCCACCTGACCCACTTCGGGGCTTCAACAGCTAGCCATGCGCACGCGCGCACACACCCGCGAACCTTTGTTTGGGGTTCCCAACCCACGTTTCCCGTCTAATGAACCACATCAGCTGCCCAATGACTGTCACACAGGCACCAAAAACTCAATTCTCCCCTCCAAAACAAAGAAAAAACGGCATCACTACCTCCCGGTTGCCCAAGTCAAAACATGCGACTTTCTAATCCAATCCACTTCTCCCCACCCGCACTCCTCCTTCTCTAGGGCAGACCGTCGTCTCTTGCCTGGAAACGAATTCCGCGGTCGCTCTCCTTGCTTCGAACTCTGCCCCCTCCACCCACCCTTCACATCCCGACCAGTGACCTTCCCGCAATCTGAATATCATTGTGCACCCTCGACTAAGACCCTCCAGACTCTTCACGGCCCTTGGGATGAAAGGCAATTCACGTACAAGACCTAAGGGCAATCCGGCCCCTCCCTGTTACCTCTTCCTTAAACCACACCAGGCTGTCGGCAGCTCCAGGACGTACCCGCGCCTCCCGCCCCCAGCGCCCAACAGCCCTTCGCAGCCAGGCTCTTCCCGACGTGGGCGCTCAAAAGGCAAACGCCCAAAGCACGAGTCCCAAGCGCGGAGCTGCGCGGCCACCGCGGATCCGGATCCGGGTTGACGGAACGTCCGGGTCACCAGGAAGCTCAGCGCAAAGGTCACGCCCATCTCTTGACCCTTCACCCAAGTGCGCGAGGCCCTCCGGCCCCCGTGCTATTCCGCCCTTAGGCGTCATGGCCGCCAGCCCCGGTTTTCCAGTGGGTCTTGACGTCGCCCCAGCCGCTCCGGCGCCGCCAACGTCTCCGCTCTCGAGAAGGCCCTCCTCTCCCAGGCCTCCCTGCCGCCCTGAGCCCGCCGCCGAGAAAAACCCGCGCTGCCCGCCTGCCCCAAACAAAGATGGCCGCCAGCCCTGTTCTCTCTTCGCAGGGCGAAGCCGCCCACCCGCCGCTCAATGCCGCTGCCAGGCTGCCCTCACCTAGTATGGCTGCCCGGCTCATGCCTCGCTATGGCCTCGAAGCCGCCGCTAACCGGCCAGGTTCCGGGAGGCGCTGTT